GGTCCTTGTGCTTGCGAAGCAGGCGGCGGAACCACTGAGCTAAATCCCTGACCCTAGTAATGTTTATAAAAAATACAGATTTGAGTTGAGGCATCCAAAACTACAATTTTAATGAGTTGTTTCAGAAACAGAAAGATAAAAATTATGCCTAGAAGGATCTGAAAAACAAAAATGGTGAGAAAGCCATAAAGAATATTTAGGAACTGTACTTTTTGGTCAGTTTTGCTATAAACCAAAACACTGCTCTAATCTATTTAAGACAGGCATGGTGGCACACCTGTAATTCCAGCACTCAGGAAGCCAGCCTGAGCTGCATAGTGAGGTCAAGGGCAGGCTGGACTACTACTCAAAAAACAAACAAACCTGAAAACTTAAAAGAAAAAAATCTAAAGGGAAGAAAGACACAAGAAGTTGGTGATCAGTGGTAAACCCTTATTACAGGGAAGAAAAATCTGATCTGTATAAAGTAAGGGCCTCAAGTATATGGTTAGATCTGAAAGTAACTTATACATTAAGAAAGGCACACTGGAGCTGGGGATTTAGCTCAGTGGTTCTGCCGCCTGCCTCGTAAGCACAAGGACCCAAGTTCGATCCCCATTACCAAAAACAACAACAACAACAAAAAGAAAGGCACACTGGCTGGGGATTCAGCTCAGTGGTTCTGTCGCCTGCCTTGTAAGCACAAGGTCCCAAGTTTGATCCCCGGCACCAAAAAACAAAACAAAGCCATGTATTTAAAAAAAAATCTGAAGGTAGGCTATACTTTTAAGCAGCCCTAGAAAAAACCTGCAGAAATTGGGAAAAAAACTCAGGTGCCCAGTTCAGTCTGGAACTGACGCATAAGCCTTCCTTGCATAGTACTAAAATAAATGCCTCTAGTGGTATCATTAAAACCCAACACTAGGGGCCAGGGATTTAGCTCAGTGGTTTCACTGCCTGCCTCAAAAGCACAAGGTCTCTAGTTAGTTTGATCACTGGCACAAAACAACAACAAAACAGTCAACTTCACCTGGGAGGTAAAATGTCATTGATCTAGTCAATTTGGAAGGCCTTTCAAAGGCTGTTTGGGGATAGTTCAGCAGTAGAGCTCCTTCCTAGCCTGCATGAGGCAAAAATAAAAAACCTAAAACCTGTAATTTTGCTACTACAATAGAAATAATGGGATTTCCAAAAGTAGTAGCTTGTGCTTGTAATCCCAGCCCTGAGAAGATTTGAGGCAGGATAACCATGAATGTGTGGCTACCTGGGCTCTATTGTGAGTTCAAGGCCAGCCTGCACTACACAGCAAGACTGCCTCAAAAAACAAGACATGACAATGGGACTGGCTCTGCATTCTAAACACTATAGACACATTTCCACCTTCCCATCAGCACTATGCACTTGGCTAACAGAGTGCTATCAGCCATCTGGAAATACCATTTGTCACTGTAACTATGCTTAGGCTGCAAAGAATATTGCTTTCCAAATCTGTGTCTGAACTCAAAACTTCAGTGGAAACCTGAATTTAATATTCTTAAAACTTCCAGGTGTTTCAGGGAATGGTCATGCACATTTGCAGTCCCAGCTCATGCAAGAGGATCATTGTGAGTTCTAGGCCAGCCTGGGCTACAGAGCAAGACTCTCTCACCAAAAAAAAAAAAAAAAAAAAAAAAAAAAAAAAAATCCCAGTCCTACGCTGACCAGAACTTTCACCTTTGTTTTTCCTCTTTGACTATGATGAAAAGGCCAACCATTTGGTTTTTGTTGTTTTGGGGGTTTTTTGAGACAGGGTCTCACTATATAGTTGAGACTGACCTGGAACTCACTATGTAGCCCAGGCTGGTCTCGAACTCCCAGCAATCCTCCTGCCTCAGCCTCCCAAGTGCTGGGATAGCAGGTATGCGCTACCACACCCGGCTATTTGTTTTTGATTATATTAAAGATGAGAGTGCTGAATGCTGCCAGGTAATTAGATGCTCATCTAAGATTTGTGATTAAAAGAAAATGTTCTTAAACTTTTCTGTCATGGCTTAGAGTTGTTGCTTAGTGGTGGAACAGTTGCCAAGCACTCAAGCCCTCGGGTTCAATCCCCGCCATTGCCAAAATCAGCCAACCTCTTTTCCTGGGCCAGGGAAGTAGCTCAGTGGTAGTATGTACTGGAGGCCCTGTGTTTGATCCCTAGCACTGCACTTTTTTCCTTAAGGTAATTTTAACATCTTCATACATACTAGAGTCACTAAATGAAATATTACCATCAAGACAAAACACATTAAAGTAGATATTTTATTTGTTTCTTATTGTGCTGCAAAGCTGTTGCTTCACTGTATAAAAACAACCCCAGCCAATGCATCTATTGCAAAATTGAGAAAGTGTCATTCTTCATCTGACACTGTCCAAATGACACACTGAATATTTTGACCCAAACCCAGGGAGAAATGTAAGCAAGATACAAATTTGTAAGGCTTAAAACAATATTATCCTTGAATTACATTAATTTTTATAACTAGTTTTTACCATGGATAATTTTATGAATTCTGAATATCAGAACCTACAGCCTAGTCTAAAAATCATAAAGTTTATATAAAAAGACACACATTGTGTTTATCTGCAATCACTAGGGAGTTAAGGGGTAGTTCCATCCAGGAACAGTGATGAGTGGTTTCTTTCTTTTCCATCATTATAGTACAGCTAAAAGTTGTTATCTCAAGTCTTCCGTCTGCCACTAACTGCAGACACTGCTGGAAGTCATTCACGCTAGTTTATATGCCACTTCACCTCAATCGATTTCACGTATTTCTCATATGCTTCTTCACTCATGAGCTCATCTAGTTCTGAAGGGTCACTCACTGTCATCTTGATCAGCCAGCCTGCAACCAAAACAAAAATCTTACATTCTACCTTTTTTCTGAAAAAGCCAAATCCATACAATATGTATATTGCACGGAACTTTTGAACTAATAGTTTTTATTACAGCTGAAAAGGGTTTTATAGCCAGGAAGTAAGTTAAAAACTCTTCTGTTGTAATAAATGTTTTTTTGAGACAGGGTTTCACTATGTAGTTGAGACTGTCCTGGAACTCACTATGTAGCCCAGGCTGGTCTCGAACTCACCATGATCCTCCTGCCTCAGCCCCCCCGAGTGCTGGGATTACAGGTGTGCACCACCACGCCCAGCATTTCTGTTGTAATAAATGTAAACAACAGATGTTTGAATTTTTTTTTTTTTTGAGATGCTTAAATCTTTAAGGGATTCAAATATATATAATGCCAGGGGTATCTTTCTTTAATAAAATGTACACCAACATTTTAAATACTAATTACAGTTAGGAGGTTGAGTTAGCAGACAAAAGAACACTAATCTTAATTTTGCCATTTATTGGCTTTCTTACCCTGATAATCCTTTGGGGCCCAAATTCATGGACTGGAGAAAATTGCTGTTAGCAAATATACCTAGGTTATTTTAAGAACAATGTGAGTGTCACCTTACCATCTTCATAACAAGATTTGTTGACAAGCCCTGGATTTTCTGCAAGTGCTTCATTAATTTCAGTTACTTCTCCTGACAGAGGAGAATAGAGTTCACTGGCAGCTTTCACGCTTTCCAAAGCACCAAACTCATCTACATGGAGAAAATTCAAGAAAATATTTTGAAAGTCAAGTGAATGACTTTAAATATAAAACATGGAGAAGTGGTTCTGGTCCCTTTTCATAGTTATGATAAAGGAAAAAAAAAGTTGTAAATGGCCCCAACCATTTCGGACACAGTGAATAACAAATGGCTGTGTTACCGAACACCAGAAGTGCTTATGTTCGGTAAAACTCACTTTCCCTTCAGCTCACAGTGGCTTGGGATAAAACAACAAAACAGTACATTTAGGAGATGCTAGCAATGGCCAAGTACCTGAAATCAGACCACTTTCCCACAGATAATTAGAAACCCCGAGCAACACATTAAAAACAGGTACAGGAAGGTTTAGAAGGGTGATCAAAACGGGATACAGTCGATGTGAGAAGAGGACCAACTGGGTGTGACCTTCACTCACATAATGAGTGAGTCAGGTCTCCCCTGACCGCACTGCCCATTCAGAGAGCACAGGGACACCATGACTCAAGCAAAAAGCCAGTCAGCATGAGGGCTCGGAGGATGGAGTGGGGGGCTGCCAGAATGACTGGAAACCAAGGGTGGAAATCCTAGAAAGGGAACCACGGTGAAAAATAAGAATTCAACAGGAGTAGATTCCAAGATGACTTGTGTGTTGGAAGGAGCAGAGAAACTTTAGTTACTACAAGTCTGTTCAGAGCTGGCTGTGCTAGCACGTCTGTAAACCTAGCATGGTGGGAGGGTAAGGCAGGAGGATTGCAGGGCAAGTTCAAGCCTAGCCTGGGCAACTTAGCAAGATCTTATCTCAAAAGTAAGAGCTGGGCATGGTGGCGCATACTCATAATACCAACACTCAGGAGGCTGAAGCAGGAGGACTGCCACAAGTTTTGAGGCCAGCCTGGGATACACAGTGAGTTGAAGGGCAGCCTGGAATACATAGCAAGACCTTGTGTCAAAAAAACTAAATTATAAAAATAAAAATGGGCTAGACATATAGCTCATTTTGAAGGCACTAGGTTCAATCCCTAGTATCAGAAGAAAAAAAAAACTATTCAGAGTCACTCTTAAAGATCATCATAGTGATATATAGAGGACAACTTGCAATGAAAAATTTTAAATGAGCACTCTAGAAATGGAAAGCCTGATTTCCAAAATAAAAAAAAATCCAGCAGAAAACATCAGTAGCAGACTGAGGACAACAAAAGACCCAGGAAATGTGAAGAAAGATCAACTGAAATAAACTCATCTCAGAACAGACTTCAAGGTCACCAGAGCCTTACATGCCAAAGGGATGCATCAATAACTTGACAAACATGGAACTGAACTTACAAAGATGAAAGAGTGGGATTTAAAAAAAGAAAAAATAATGACCCCAAATATCTCCAAATTTTGGTGAAGAAAAACATCTTACAGGTTCAAGAAGTTCAGCAAATCCCAAGCCTAGTAAACACAGAAAACCACATCTACATAGTGACTGTAAGCCACAGCGTGCTTAAGAACTCAGCACTCAGAGGAAAGTAGCACATCCAGGAGAAAGGCAAGATAGCTGAATTCTCAACTAGCAAAATAGATCTGTCAACACAGTGAAAACCTGGAAAACACTAGGGCAGGGGAGATGGAAACTGTCAATTTAGAACCTCATGTATAGAAAGAATATACTTCAAGAATGAATGCAAAGCCAGGCATGGCAGTGAACACCTGTAATCCTATCACTCAGGTGGCTGAGGCAGGATTGCTTTGCCTGGACTATAGAGAGAGATCCTGTCTCAAAACAAACAAAACAAAAAACCCCCCAAACACACACACACACACACACACACACACACAAAAGGCATTTTCAGGTAAGAATGAGTCTAAAGCACCAACTTCACTGCAAGACATTCTGCAGAACATCTCTGAACTAAAGACTGACCTAACACCACCTCAGACTTAATTCCCTCCCCAGGAAGGAATGAAAGGTTCTTAAATGGTGAATACAGGGTGCTGAATATGGTGGCACACAGCTGTAATCCCAGCACTAGAGAGGCTGAGGCAGAGGAGGATCACTTAGTTCAAGGCCAGCTTAGGCTACACAATAAAGTGAACTACTATTACTCAAAAACCAAAAATAAATCATAAAACCTAACAGTGTATTCCTTTTACTACAACAAATTAAGAGCCAAAACAATTTAGAATCAGAAAAGCTCTAAATAGAAAAAAAGCTGAATAAAATAACATACTTCTATAAAAGTAGGCAATAACATACTTCTATAAAAGTAGGCAAAGATTTCATGAACAAAACCCAGACCGTACAGGAAATACTACAAAGAATCAACAACTGGGACCTCATCTTACTACAAAGCTTTTGCACAGCAAGAGAAACCACCAACAGAGTAAAGAGACAACCCACAGAGTGGGGAAAAATTTTTACTAGCTATTCAGGTAAAGGATTATTATCTAAAATATATAAAGAACTAATTTAAAGACCCAATGCTAAAGAGACACTTTTCAGATAAAGAATTAGAAATGGCAAATATATTTTTAAAATGTTCAATATCACTGGTCATTTGTAAAATGCAAATTAAAGTTTAGATTCTGTCTCACCCAGAAAGGATGGTTGCTATCAAGAAATCAAGCCAGGCATAGTGGCACACACTTATAATCCCAGCACTTGAGAGACAGAGGCAGAGGCAGAAGGATTGCTGTGAGTTTGAGGCCAGCCTGAGCTACAAAGTGAGACCCGTCTCCCCCACCCCCCGCCAAAAAAAAAATCAGGGCCAGGGATTTAGCTCAGTGGTGCTACCTACCACCTGTGCCACAAGCACAAGGTCCTGAGTTCGATCCCTGGTGGGGGAGGGCAGGCTAAAAAAAAAATCAACCAATAACAAATGCTGGAGGGGCTGTGGGGAAAGAGGAACCCTTTTCTACTGCTGGTAAGAGTGTAGACTGGTGGTGCAACCACTGTGGAAATCAGTGTAGAGATTTCTCAATAAGCTAAAACTAGAGGTTTCCATTGGACCCATCTATACTTCTTGGTATCTTCCCAAAAGAATAAAAAGCACCATACCACAGCTATATATGCACATCCATATTTATAGCAGCACAGTTTGTAATAGCTAAATCTTGGAAACAGCCCTAATGCCCATCAACTGATAAGTGGATAAAGAAGATATGGTTTTTTGAGACAGGGTCTCACTACGTAGTTGAGACTGACCTGGAACTCTGTAGCCCAGGCTGATCTCAAACTCAGTGATCCTCCTGACTCAGCCTGCCAAGTGCTGGGATTACAGGCCTACACCACCACAGCTGGCTGAAGATGTTTGTTTTTTTAAATACTACTCTGCCATAAAAAGGATGAGCTTCAGACCATTTATAGCTAAATGGATGGACCTTGAGACAGTACTCTTAAATGAAATAAATCTGATATACATGGTTAAATACTGCATTGTTTTCTGTGGTATAAGAAACTGAATGTTGAAACAAGGACTGAGATGTGTAATGGATGCTGGGAAATGGGAAGAAAGTGTTCAAATGGGAAGGAAAACAAGGGAGGGAGAAAGGAAGACGGACAAGAAAAAAAGTAAAAATAGAAGGAAAAAATGGAAACAAAACTTTATACATAGGGAGGGGAGGGGGCTTGGAGGGGAATGGGCTGAAATAAAATTTAATAAATCAAAAATAAAATAAAACAACATACTTCTAATTAACTTGAGTCAAATCTTAAGAGAAATTGGAAGATGCTTTGAAATGAATAATAATGAGACTACATCATCAGAATTTTGGGGATCAAAAGTGCTTAGAAGGAAACAAGTTAGATTACAATTTTATATACAATAATTATTGTCAAATCAATGGCCCGGGTTCTAAAAACACTAGAAAATAAAAGCAGGCAATTTCTAGAGAAAAAAAAAATCCTTAAAAGGAGGGCTGGCACTGGTAAGTTCTGGGGGTTTCTGGTAAAAGTTTTTTAAAGAGCACCAATCTACCATGCAGGGCAGCCAGAATTCTGACTGCCTTGAAGGACCAGGGTCATGGTCCTGATAGCCACCACAGCTACTGGAAACAAAGAGAAGTGGGAAATCCCAGGAAGGCTTAAGACAAAAGGGAAACAAAGCTGTGTGTATAACTCTGCCCTGGTCTCTGAGCATCCCTGAATGTCCACTAAACTAGGAGAACTGAACTGAGGAGATGTCAGCTGCCACCTACCCGAGGGAGACAGCATTTGCAGTGTGAGTATAACATTCCTAATACATAAAACCCCAGATTTACATCTGAAAAAACTGGGAACAAGAAGCAAATTAAATCTAGGTAAGTTGCAGAAGAGAAACAATAGAGATTTTAGCAGAAATCAATGAAGTGGAAAGTAAAGAGAACTGACAAAACTTATAAAAGCAACCCTAATCGGCTGGGCGTGGTGGTGCACGCCGGGAAGGCTGAGGCAGGAGGATTGCTGTGAATTCGAGACCAGCTTGGGCTATATAGTGAGTTCCAGTCAGTCTCAACTACATAGTGAGACCCTGTCTCAAACCAAAACAAACAAAAGCAAGCCTGATCCAGAAAAGGAAAGAAAAAAAAAGAGGCTGGCAATAATAGCTCCATGGCAGAACATTCGCCTAGCATGTATGGGGTGCTGGGTCTAACCCCCAAGCCTGCCCCCCAAAAAAGAAAATGCAAATTATCCTCAAAATCAAGAAATGAAAAAAGGGTCTTCTCTACAGAACCTATGGATATGAAAGGTTAGTGACAGATATAAACACTTTTGTGCCAAATTTGAAAACATGATAGAAAAAAATCCTGGCAAAAACAGCAAATCAACCAGACGTGGTAGCCGGCAGCACTCAGGGGGCTAAGGCAGGAGGATCCCTGCTCCTGGGCTACACAGTGAGTTTAAGGCCAGCCTCAAAAAATAAAAACAAATGAAAAAACACAAGAGTACAGAAAATCCAAACAGGCCTGTGTCTATTAAAGAATAATTTCAAACTTGTATGAAAAACTTTCCTATAGCCAGGACTGGGTAGCACAGGCCTATAATCCCAGCACTCAGGAGGCCTGAGATACATAGTGAATTTAAGCCTGGCCTGAATAACACAGCAAGACCCTGTTTAAAAAGCCAAAATATAAATAAATACCCCACTACTGAAAAAACCTTTCCCACAAAGAAATCTCTAGTGACGGATTTCAGTGGTTAATGCCATCAAGCATTTAGGGAAGAAATAATCTTGCATGTGCATTCAGAAGAGATAGGAGTATTTCCTAAGTAATTCTATGAGGCCAATCTGATTTCAAAATTTGACAAAGTGATTTTAAGAAAAAGCCCAGACGTTTCTCATGAATGTAGTTTTAAAAGTTTTTAAAGCGAAGCAAATTGGCAACATATAAAACAGACAAGGTTAAGTAGTTTATCCCACTAATGTAAGATTGATTAAACTTTCTTTTCCAGTTAGTGATATTCTAGCCTCAGATAAACCTCGTTTTTGGCTACTGTACTGCGGCTATGCCAGGCTGACTTTTTTTTTTTTTGGACACAGGGCCTTGCTATGTAGCTCAGGCTGGCCTTGAACTCACTGGGACCCTCTTGCCTCAGCCTCCAGAATGCTGGGATTACAGGTGTGTGCCACCACGCCTAGCAAACTTTTTAAAACATCAGTCTTGCTCTTCACATTAAACAGAATAAATATGGTCTAAACAGATGAAAATGAACTTGACAGAATTCATCTAGTAATAAAAGCTCTTAGTAACAGAAAGGAACCTCCACTGGTAACGAGCATCTGTGAAAGATCGCACAGCTGGCACCATGCCCGTGATGAAGAAATACTAAATGGTCCCTCCTACATGAGGATAAGCACCCATGTCCACCTCCCTCCTCTCCAAAGTTATACCAAACTGTATATCAACTGTAAGCGATCTAGAGTGTGAGAAGAGAGGAAGTGGAGGGGAAGAAGTGAAAAGAATTAGGGTGTGTTTGCCAGCTCCCCACAATGACTGTGATCACTATGAACTGCAAATATGTACTAATAAAAGTTGGTTTTTTTGGTTTTTTTGGTACCGGGGATCAAACTTGGGTCCTTGCACTTGTGAAGCAGGCGGCAGAACCACTGAGCTTAGTTCCCAGCACTAATAAAAATTTAAAAAATACATAAAAAGCTGCTTTCCAACAAACTGTACTGGACACATAAACGTGTAGGAGGAAAAGTGAAGTTCAACTCTAACTTCACTCTGCACAGAAAACTTAATACCCCTGAACATGAGAGCTGGAATAATGAAGTTTTCAACAAGAAAGCAAAGGAAAAGAACAATATGTTCCCATGACATAAGTGATGGGGGAGAAAAAGTTTGTCAAATACTGTCAAAAGATATTTACATGTAATCCCAACTAAGATCAGTTCTCTGGGGATACAGGCAGGAGGATTGCAAACTGGAATCCCACCTAGGGAACTTAGTGAGGCCGGGTGTCAATAGAGAGAAGCAAACAGCCAGGTGTGGTGGCGCACGCCTGTAATCCCAGCACTTGGGAGGCTGAGACAGGAGGATCACTGTGAGTTCAAGACCAGCCTGAACTACATAGTGAGTTCCAGGTCAGTCTCAAATACATAGTGAGTCCCTGTGTCAAACCAAAAAGAAAAAGAAAAAAGAAACAAGCAAACAAATAAATGGGCTGGGGATGTAGCTCAGTGCAAAGGCCCTGGGTTCAGTTCTAAGTACCAGAAAAATAAATAAGATAAAAAAACCTAATGAAAAGTATACCTGGTACTGCAGCCTAACATCTGTTAAGCACTTAAATTATGTTGGACATTAGGCTCATTTAACTAATCCTTACTGGTAGATAGCATCAGAGGTAGATATATATCCTCATTTACAGATGAGACTTTACTGTTCCCCAAGTGGCAGAGTTTATAAGCTTTGGGACTAGGATTTTAAAAACTAGATTTGGGCTTATGCCATTGTACATTCTTGGTATTCTCTACTAGCTACAAAGAAAAGTAGCCAGGGATTTAGCCCAGTGCTTCTGCCACCTGCCTCACAAGCGCAAGTTCCCAAGTTTGATCTCTGATACCAAAAAAATAAGGCAGATTTTACTTTAAAAAAAAAAAAAATTCAGTGGTAGGATTAGAGCTCAGGGCCTTGCACCAGCTAGGCAAGCACTCTACCATAGAGCCAAATCCCCAGGCCCTTACTTGTTAAAAACAGCAGACCTCAGCAGTTAACCGATTACAGTAGCCATCCATGTGCAGAGGGAGACGGGAGAAGTCAGCTCTTTCTCTGTACTTCATAGCGGCCATTCAAGTATCAAATCGCCTCTCATTCTCCACCCCACCATCCCTCACACCTCAGGGTGGTCAGAGTGACATGGAAGAAGGCACCTGCCACAAGACTTCTGGAGGGAACTTTCCTTCTCAACAAAGACCAGGGCCTGTCCCCACTCGACTTCTGACAGCAAGACACAAAGAGAAAGGAGGTCATGTCAATGGCTTTCCTTGAACCAAAAGCTCGTATGAGAATAGCAAAGTCCTGTTAAATACTTTTATTTGAATATCCCGTCTCCTGGACTGAAAACATTCAAATTGACCCCAAGTGCACAAGGAACACATTATTCAGGAAAAGACCAAGGAAAATGCATGCCATTGCAAGATGAGGAAGATACTCACCTTGTTTTTTCAATGTTGTCCCAACTTCAGGCAGACTACAGTAGACAACATCTCCCAAAGCTTCCTGAAAAATAAAAAACACAGAGTTCTAAGAAGCCAAATTAATCCTTCCAGGAAACAGGGACAAGATAAACACCAAATCTCCTGTAATCTAGACTGTGTATCTTATATTTGAGGACCCTGTTGTGTTTTTCCTCTTTCACTCTTTACAAATGGAGTCACTATTCCTAGGAGCTGGCTACTAGGCAGATCTGGCCCCAAAGCGGTAGTGACCCATGGCATGAACCCTATGCCACCAACAAGACTGCAGCTCCAGGGAGCACTAACACCTTGCTTTCTGCCTCTGCAGTTTCCAATTGCTGTGACTCCGCTGCACTCCTGATGTCCCCCTTTCCAGCTCTACAAGCCAGTCTTCACAGCCTTGTACGTGGCAACCTTGACTCCAGAAGTGATCTGTACATCAGGTGAGCGAATCACACTGCCCTGGTGACGTGTCACACTGTGTCCTTTCCCTGTACGGGATTCCCACTGCAGATAAACGCCAGGAGGCAAGGACAAAAGCTTACATGATATTCCACAAGATATCTTCTACAGTATTCCACAAAACACCCTGCATGGGGCCTCAAAGTGGGTCCCCACATATGTTAGGATGTCATTGTAGCTGACCCTCAGTACCCTAGAATCCACATGCCTCAGGAATTCTGTTCTCCCAACAGGTAACATCCTCTTTCCTCTCCTGCCTCAGTCACTCACACCTAGTTGAAAATCACTGGCCCTGCTACTTTATGACTTTTTTATTTTGGGGTACTGGGGATCAAACTCAGGACCTTGCACTCATGAGGCAGGCACAGTGCCACTCGGCTAAACTTGGGGCCCCAGCCTCTTACTTTTTTAGAACAGTATTTCAGTGTGAGATCTGTGAGGATAAGGGAATTAACAGAGAAAGCAAGGGTTATGTGAAAGGTTGTCCTTTATGTATCCTGTGCCTGTCCAAGGTTCCCCTCGTCTTCATTGGTGGCCCATAGGCCTCACTGTACCCACAAAATGCTGGCCTTCTTGCTTGCTCTTCTTTTTCTTCTTACCTTAAGTGCTTGATACAAAACAGTTTTTTGTTTTTTGTTTTTTGGTAGGGGGGATCGAATTATGTCCTTGGGCTTGGGAGGCAGGCTTTGGAACCACTGAGCTAAATCCCCAGCCCCAAAACAGTTCTTAAATAAGATATGTTTCCTACTTTAATTGTTAGCCCCAGTATCTTTTGTAATCTCACACACTGCCCTATGTAGTTTATTGTTTCACCTCCAACTGACGTAGGGGTCTTTAAAAGGGCCCAAAGTACTCTACCAAATAAACAATTCCAAGAGGTTCACAATCCACATCATATGAGAGCAGACTAACATAACTTCAAGATAACCCCAATACCTGTGCAAAGTTGCTGATTCCTACTGTTCCAATACCATTTTCTGTTGTTATCCATTCGTGTTTCTCTGTGAATTTACGTGCTAAAACAGAAGACCAGTATTTCAGAAAAGCATTACTTCCTTTAAAGCCCTTTTCATGTTCTTGCTGTCAAAAGGTTAAGACTTCCCCAGTATTGGATTTATTGAGACTGCCTTTCAATGATACCATCCCCAGGAAAGAACAAAGACCATGTGTAAAGACAGCAGTCTTACTTAGCTGGGTGTGGTGGTGCACACCTATAATCCCAGCACATGGGAAGCAATGCAGGACAGTGGGAAGTTTGATCCAGCCTGAACAACTTAGTGACTTTGGAGGACCCCCTTTCAAAGTTTAAAAGAAGGGCTGGGGATTTAGCTCACTGGCACTGTGCCTGCCTTGCAAACACAAGGTCCTGAGTTTGATCCCCAGTACAGAAAAAAAAAAAAAAAAAAATTTTAAAGAAAAAAAATGTAAGGACTGAGGATGTGAAGGCCCTGGGTTCAATTCCCTAGAAAAAAAAAGAAGACTAAAGGCTGGGATTGCAACTCAGCAGTAGAGTGCTTGCCTAGCATGAGACCTTGAGTTCAATCCCCAGCATCTCTCTCTCTCTCTCTCTCTCTCTCTCTCTCTCTCACACACACACACACACACACACACACACACACACACACACACACAAAGTAAAGGAGATTCTGAGCAAAATGGTATACTTTCTCTTTCTTTTTGGAGACACGGGGTCTCATATACTTCAGGCTGGGCTTGAACCCACTGTTGTAGCCCAGGCTGGCCTTGAACTTGCGGAGATTCTCCCCTCAGTCCCCCACCCCCAGTGCTGGGAATACAGGCGTTTGGTATACCTCTTGACTTCAAAGTCTAGAAATCATCATCTTGATTAGGCATAGTACTTAGGCTAAGGAAAGTTTTAATACAACTCTCCTTTAACCCTTGGCCCAACATGTGGAAGAAGCAATTAGGTAAACTTTCTTACTGGGCCCTGAAAAACATGGTTTTTGGCCTCAGAAAATCAGGAGTTGTAATTCACAAAAATTCGGCCTTTTCTTCTTTTCACAGTCACTAGACAAAATACACTTTATGTTAATGTTGGCCAGTTTTCCTCACTGTTTATTTGACGCTATATACTAATTTTTCATTTCATCCCTCAGCTCTCTGAGGTATTGCAGTCTACTTACTGCCTCTACTTTTCTGAGGGGGAAACAGGCTCACAGTTGACTATTGCCTGAGATAGAACATGGCTGATAGGACAGTGAACGAGTGTTGGAAATAAGGTCTGTCAGCTTTTCAAACCCAGGGGCCCCGTACTCCCTAAGTACGTACAATTATTATGTGTCAATTAAAAACTACGTGATCACAGGCATTGACATTTTGTCAATATTTAACCAGAGAACTAACAAATGCAAACAGATAAGAGATTTTTAAAAACCCCACAGAGGCTTGAAATTCTGGTCAGAGAGATACTTTCCCCTTATTCAGACTGCTGATGTATGTGTGTGAGTGTCGCAAACAGCTGGGCGAATGTTGGTAAATGAAGAGAAGCAATACGTTGTTATGCTTCAAACAAGTGACGAGACAACAGCCCTACACAGCTATAGCAGATGGAATTCTCACAAAAGGCAGTGAGTGTCTCTAGTGTTTCCGCGGGAAGATATCTGACGGCGCTGATGGTGTTAAAGGGCCGCCAAAGGCCTAGCCGCTCAAGGGCTGTCTCCGTTATTTCCAGTCCGTTTAAATCAGGCCTCTGTGCAACCCCGGGTCACATCAGTGACTAAAACAGACTCCAGCAGAACTGTGAGATCCCCGAGACTCTCACCTGCCCGTTTCCGCTGGGAACACCTATGCAGCGCTTTCACGCTACGAAGTGCTTCGGCTCAGTGCAATTTAGGAGTTCTCAGTAAGGGCCGTTCGGAAAACTTAGGACCTCCGCATTTAGGGCCTCGCAGCACACACAAAGGAGACGACCTAAGGTCACCAAGGCCCTCCGCGAGCCCGCGTGGCTTCCCCACCGACGGCTCCACCCCGCCCGCCCCCGGTCCCGCAGGCCTCCGAGCCCCGCTTCTTTTTACCCGCGGCTAGAAGATCGCGCGCATCTTCCCACTCCACTTAGCGGGG